GATGAGGGTGGGCCAGCTTTAGGGACAAGGGCGAGGCCCTGAGGACAGGGCGATGTTGGACTCCAGCCAGGCCGGGCTGTCCCTGCTGTGAGATGCCCCAGTACCACAGCCAAACTGGGAATGTCCTGCCCCTGCAGTTGAGATGCTCCTGGCTGTTAGCAGAGGGCTCGGCCACAGTGAGGTACAGGCTCATGGGATGCGTAGCCAAAGCCGGGTCATCAGCAACACCTCCTCTTTACTTCTGCAAACTGACTAAGCCCCACGCCACTGGGGTTTTGACCAGCGTCACACCATGAGCGTCAGAGTGCCCCAGTCTCTGTGTGCGCACGAGCCTCCGGGCAGTGTCATGTGCATGGAAACACTCGAGGAATTTCTGGGAACAGCATTGCCAGGCTTGGGCAGGGAGGGTGGGAGAGCTGCGTGGTGGTGCTGTGCATGTAAAAGAAATCCGTAGTTATCGGCTCTCCGAATAACGAGGTCGTGGGGTGTGCACGGCTTTTTCTGCCGTCTCTTTGCAGGAGAGCGGAGAATGTGGCTCCAGGAGCACGAAGCAGCCAGAGAATATCTGCAACGCCTGAGTGCAAAGTAAGTCAGAAGGATGGTGGGCTGGGACTAGATGATCTGTAAAGGTCCCTCCCACCCCAAATCGCTCAGTGATTCTCTGAGGCGAAGCTGACTCGTCTGGCTATTTTCCGAGTGGCCGGGCGACTTTCTCATCCCCGCTCCTGGGTGTGACAGAACAGGCCTTGGCACCGACAGCTCAGCTTGGTAACCAGGTCTGGAAGAAAGGGTGGTTCAAGTCTGCTGCTTTTTAATTGCAGCTGTCAGTGGCCCCCTGGGGGAGGTTAACAGCAGGCAAGGGTGTTTTCGGGGCATTTAAAAGGAAATGGGTACAGCCAGCTGCTAAATGAGTTACTGGGAGCCCTTCGCTGCCTTGCTCAGTGTCTCTGGACCGGGCTCCGTGCAGATGTGCCGCTGTGAGGCTGCGGGTAGCGCGGCGCTTTTCTGCAAAGCTTTGAAATGGAGCTGCTGATGCGCTTGGCAAACTGGAACGCTTGAAAGACTCCCCGTTGCAGTGAGTGTTTCTCATGACGTCGTTGTGGGAGGAAGCCGTAAAACTTCTCTGTGGAGAGAAGATAAAGGGAAGCAGGATCAGAGACCAGAAAGGGCAAACCGAGTCCCTGGTGCCAGGCTCTGGGAATACAATAGAAATAAGGAGAGAAGAGTCATGATCTTTCTTTACGGCATAGTTCGTCACTTGTGCAGAACAGAGGACAATGCCCGAACTCTCCGGGCTCTTTCACTCCAGAAAAATGTCTGCACGGGCATCAGTCTTCCTTAATGACCGAGCTGCCAGCTCCGGAGCAGAGGGGTGGGAGAACCCCGCAGCTGGCTGCTGTCAGAGGGCTGCACTGCAGGGAGGAGGAGCGGATGGGGGGGGCGGGAA